CATACATGCATACATACACGCATGCACACATACACACATACGGACCCTTCCCTCGTACATACATACATACATACATACGTACATACACATGTACATACACACAGGCATGAGTACATGTTTACATACATACTTTTAAGCATACATACATACATACATACATACATACATACATGCGTACATACACGCATACACACATACACACATAGATACATAGATACATAAACACAAAAATACATACATACATACATACATACATACATACATGCATACATACAAGGCATTACATAGCAAAGCATTACATGGCACAGCATAGCATAGCAAGAACTTAGACTACGTAACGTATTGTGACTTATCGTGAAAGATCAGAGGAAAAAACAGAACAGAACACACGTGCACACATACATGCATAGATACATAAATATATGCATGTTGCATTGGTACATATGCGTATACATCAACAGTATGCATGACCGTGCGCGCATACCTGCGCCGGTTTTGAACGCTCCTGGGTGGCCTGACGTTTACAATACTGCCGCTGCGCCACATGAATCCTGGAACTTTACACCCGGATCATAGATCCTGTAGCGCCCCCAAAAAAACTGCACCCTCAACTTTCCTTGGCCCCGATCAAAGCCAGGATTACATACGTGAACCCTGCTATGATGATCCTAAGCCTACGATGAGCCACTTGACAAACACTGCCATTTGGCCCTCTTCGCTCTGAACTTCAAGCCTCGAATCCCCAAAAACGTCAAACCTCACACAGTACTCTTCACAGTATGCCTTGCAATACCCTTACTTGCAGTAACCCACAGAGAGTACCCATATCGTAACCTTTAAGCTATGACGGCGGGCCAGAGGATAGATCGTGGTCTGCTTGCCCTGTGCGAGGGCTAGAGCTGCTGCGGCCTCGTTCAGGCAATACTCTTGATGAATTTGTAGCTCTCTAAGTTAAGGGTCCCTTTTCGGGTCCTCTTTATAAAGGTGCCGTACTCTGTTGGGGAGCTAAAATGGGCCCTAATATTTAGAGAACTACCCAAATCCTGCAATATACCCATAATAAGGAACATACCATGCTTCTCATAGCTTAGGGTCCTTAAGGTAATACAGGATTTATATCATCAAGCATGGGACCTCCTTTGGGCTTTGGGCTGGAGGGTCTTTAAGGGTATTATTGAGGTTCCTGTACTGAGGGAGCTTTGGGCTTTAGGGTTATAGGGCTTT